TACCGCTCCGCTCCCTCTAACCCTTTGTTCCCGTTCAGACGTCTTCGTTCCGATTCGGTCACCCTTGTTTCTCCTTGTGCTTTTGCCCCTTCCTTATATATCGGCGCTTGTACATACTCGTCTGTTTTCAGTCCGAAATCGACTGGAATTCCCCCCCAAGAGACTTTCCCTCTGCTAGATCCGAAATTAGGGACCCCCAGGACAACCAGCAATGGCACAGCGCTCCACCTGAGTCGCTGAGGCCGAGGTCCTTCCATGCTAAGTCTCCGATTCCATTCCGGAGTCGTCCGAGTCCGCACGTTCTAACACACCTGCCATTTACGTCCTTTCCAAACAATCCCCCAGATCACTCAACCTCATGGTGACATTGACCGCCCTGACCTCCCTCGCCCCCGTATCAGTGTCAGCCCTCCTGGATTCAGGGGCCACCGGGAACTTCGTGAGCCCTGAGTTCGTCCGGAAGCACAGGCTCAAGACCACCCCGCTCCCACAGCCCATACCCGTCCGCAACGTCGATGGCACCCTGAACGAGAATGGGGCCATAACCGAAGAACTGGAGGCCCTCCTGACGTTCGGACGACATACAGAGCGGGCCCACTTTGCAGTTGCAAACCTGGGACGCCAATCCCTCATCATAGGGCACTCGTGGTTGCTGCATCACAACCCAGAGGTGGACTGGGCACGACAGAAGGTCGTCATGTCCTGCTGCCCATCCTCTTGCAGGGGGCCACGAGTGGGAGATGGCCAAGACCTCACGGTAGAGCCCGGAGACGGGATCTATGCTGCGATCATCCCCCTGGGGTGGGGACATGACCTGAGAGTGACCACGATGCCATCTCAGCGGATGGCCCAGGAGGCCCACGACCCGGGGGCAGAGCCTGTGCCGTTCGAGACGTTGGTACCAGAACACTACCAGGACTTCCGGGACGTGTTCTCTAAGGAAGCCTTTGACCAGCTACCCCCCTGAAAGCCCTGGGACCACACCATAGACCTGGTACCAGATGCGAAGCTACCCAGAGGAAAGACCTTCCCTCTCTTGCGACCCGAGCAGAAAGAACTGGACGAGTTCTTATGGGAGAACCTGCAGAACGGGCGTATACGCCTGTCCAAATCCCTGATGGGGGCGCCAGTCTTCTTTGTCAAAAAGAAGGACAGGTCATTGCGCTTAGTCCAAGACTATCAAAAACTGAATGAGATCACGGTCAAGAACTCGTACCCGCTCCCCCTCATCTCAGATGTTCTCACCTGCCTTCGCAACGCCAAGTACTTTTCGGCCCTGGACCTACGTTGGGGGTTCAACAACGTCCGGATCAAAGATGGGGACGAGTGGAAGGCAGCGTTCGCGACCAACCGGGGGTTATTTGAACCCATGGTGATGTTTTTCGGCCTGTGCAACTCCCCCGCATGTCAGGGCACACCCGCCTGACCCGGCCCCACCTAACCCGGTGCCCCACCATCTGCTCCTCCCGACCTCCCCCCTCTTCCCCTTTTACTCTTCCCTTTCTTCCTCCCCTTCTTTTCTCTTCTCTTTCCTCTTTATTCCTTTCTTATCACATGGATGACTTCCTTTGTATCAATGTACCATTGACCCAGCTGCAGTGTAACGCGCCCGGACCCAGACACACTGGATGACCCCCCGCATACCGGACACTCCTAGGACCTCTTATGGAGGTACCCGGATGGAGGTGGCTGTGTGCTTAGATGACGTGGCGCTTCCCACGTGGCCTTCAACCACATGTATATAAACACAGCCTAAGTGGGAACTGAGAAGCAACCTTCTTCTCACATTTCCCACTTTAGGCAAGTAGCTTACACTTCCTTGATAATAACAATAACACATTTCCCACTTTAGCCTGAGTGGCCAGGGACCCTTGTCTGCTTTGGGCCCATTGTTACACGCACCCGCATCATACCTACCGGACCCTCAGCCCCGGGCGATATACCCGGGCGCTCTCGACCCCGGGTTGGTCCCTGACAAGTAGGGCTCCGGAATCAGTTTCGGAGTTCCAGGAGCCCGGAGCGGAGGTCAGGATTGTATGGATATGACATTAGTCCATATTCCAACATCACCTCTGCCACCTTTGCTGCATCCCCCCTTCCCTTGGACAAGATTAGCATTGGAAAACAAGCCATGCTGCTGGCCTGACAGCAAGGCACTGTGCTATCATGCAACCTCCCACTGACCTGACACCACTTCCCAATGTGTCTGTACACCCATCAATCTACAGCATAGCTTGATGTAGTTAAAAGTCCATCAGTTGGACAAAAATAATCTTTGTCCTTGTCTTATATATCAACAGTTGGTCATCAATCATGTAAAGTACATCAGCAAAGTCTGGTCACAGATCTCCGAAATGTGAATCAGATCTAATTCAATTTTAATTCAGTTTAGGGTACCCTGTTATAGAGTGTGTAATTATCTGGAAGTGGAGAAGGGACTCAGGAAGGAGGGACCTTGGCCTCAGCAACTCAAGTGGAGTGCTGTGCCACTGCTTTGTTGTCTAAGGTGGTCCTAAATTTCAGGTTAGCAGGGGGAGTCTCTTGGGGGGACAATCCAGTCGATTCTGGTTCTCTAGTCATCGACTCTAGATGTCGATTTCAGACTAGGGGTACAGGAAACTATGTACAGAGTGTATATATATAATGAGTGGAGTCGGAGGACAAAGGGAACTGGAAGGAGACAAAGGGGGACTGGATGAGGGAACAACCCCAAGGTCAAGGGTTGGAACTCTATGGTGCTTCCCAAAAGGGCAAGGCCAAGAGGAGAAGGAGTGGAGTGGATTGTGGGGAATGACAGCTGACTAATGTGGAAAGGAAGCAGCCATCTAAATAAGGAAGAGGCAACAAGAGGATTAAATGACACCATACAGTAGAGACTGCAGGGTCCGGAGTTGGAAGTCTAAGTCCGGAATATTGGCAAGACATAATAAATGAAATGCAATAAGGAATACAAGGAGATAAGTCCAGAGTGGAGATGTGACTGAAGTTCTGGAGGTGGAGGTGTGATGGGGTTCCAGTACAGGAGTCCAGAGCCGGAGGTGTGAAGCATCACAAGCTCTGGTCTGGAAGGTATGAGGTTGGGATCAGACATGGAGTAAACCGGAGTTGGACCATCGTAGTGTTGGACATTAGGGACGTTCACAGCACTCACAACTCGGGCAAAACTAAGTCACAAGAATGCCAAAACTCACCACTCTTGTGCAACAGTTTTCAAAGACTTTTGAGTAAGTTTTGAGTGTAGCAAAAGGGCGTTCACAGCAACAGGTTCAAAACACTGTCATAACAGACCCAGAGAATCAACCTGTAAGTCCGTTGGCCTTGGAGCACATGAATGTATTATGTAACAACTATGCAGTCCGATGCCAGCAGTCCGCGAACGCGAGCGCTTGATCCAGGCTGCACTGAACCATGCTTCTCACCTCCAGACCAGATACCACCACCACCAGCGTCGCCTTTTGTTACAGACAGAGACATCTAGCCAGCTTGACCTCTTATCTCTTAGCAACTCTGAGTCTGACAACAGCTCCGACACCTCATCTGATAGCAGCAGCTCATCATCTGATTCCACTTCCAGTTCCTCCAGCGCTTCCAGTTCCAGCCAAGCTTCCGGCACTCAGGCTACTTCTTCACATCACTCCTTAGCCGACTCTGACTCTGAGTCCAACCAAGCTGAGGTCCGGGCCATCATGCAAAGAAATCACACACGGTCAATGCGCCACGTTTGGTACTTTCTATCTAGGTTGGCCACTACACGTGTTTTATTTCCACATGAAGTTATCAAGTGTAGCCAGCTAGCGCTTGTGCTGGACTGTTACAAAGCCGATGATCCACGAAGATTTCGGCACAACCTGCGCGTCTCACCCCACACGTTCGATTTAATGCTTCGCTTAATTGAAGACCATCCTACCTTCCTGAACAATTCTACAGCAGAACAAGTGCCTGTCTCCTACCAGCTGGCAATTGCATTATACCGCTTTGGTAGGTTTGGTAATGGTGGGTCTGTTGAGGCAGTTTCCCAGTGGGCAGGTTGTAGTGTGGGGACTGTTGTCAAAGCCACGCAGCATGTCATAGCAGCGGTCTTGCCACTTCATGGTCAGGCTATCCATTGGCCAACCACGGAAGAGAAGCAAGAAGCCTCACAATGGGTTGAGCGAGTCTCTTGTCGAGCATGGCAGCCTGGATACTGTATGGTAGATGGTACACTTATCCCCCTTCATGCCAAGCCTGGCCATTATGGGGAACAGTTTTTTGACCGCAAGTCAAATTATTCCCTCAGCCTTGTGGTATGTTCTGCATTTGTAGGTACTGGTCAAGACTGACTTCTAGACTAGTTAATCACGCTGCCCAACCTCCGCATAATCGACTATGTCCTTGGCCCTCCTGGAAGTGTCCATGACTCAACTGCCTTTAAGGAGTCGTGTGCATGGAAAGAATCAAATCATCTGTTCCATAGTGGAGAGTGGCTCTGGGCCGACTCTGCCTTTGGCCTGACCCCTTGGTGTATAGTCCCATATAAGAAACCTCAGTCCCTCATACCTGCTAATCGTCAATTTAACTACCATTTGTCATCGGTAAGTTGACAAGTGGCTACAGAATTTTTGTTATTTATGATGTGGGAACTTTAGGTCCGCATTCGCTCTGAACATGCAATTGGCTTCTTAAAAGGCCGATTCCAATCACTCCGAGGCCTTCGGCAACAAATCAACAGTGAACGTGACTACTGATTGGCATTGGCATGGGTACGTACTTGCCTTATCATCCATTCACTTGTGTCCCAGGTTGAGGATTTTGAGTTGGAGGAAGAATTTGCACACTGGGTTGCCGAGGGTTTACATGGCCATGATGAACAGCAGGATGAAGGGGAAGTGGAAGGTTTTACTTGGATGTCAGCTGAACCTCCGCCCCCTGGTGAATTGGAAGCTCAGTGTAAGCGCCGTCATATTCAGGAGGCGCTGTTCCATGAACTTTATATGTAGAAACTATGTTTACTAATCCATGAACTAGAATGGGTGTGTGGTTTGGGAGGATCCTGAGCCTAGCCCATCATTGGTGAAGTTGGCTTGCAGCGTGCCAGAGGGTGGCAGCTGAGCAAGATAGGGGGGCACAAGTGGAGCCAACCCCATCTGTTGTGCTTGGATGCTGTACTTCAGCATCTTCCGCTCATGTTTCTGATCTTCATGTCGTTGGAGGGCATCAATGCGGGCCATGCGTTGTAAGTGAAACTGGTCCGCCTCTCGGCGGGTCTGCTCTTGGTCACGGAGATTTGCTTCACTGAAATCAGCAAGAACATCACGTCGTCCCTTTCCATTACGGCTAATTCCTCCAGCATTGTGAGTCAAACCAACTAGTGTAGGGGTCGGAGTTGGAGAATTGGATGTAGGTGTCATTGGAGTTGGCAAACCATGGCTCCCTAGCTGAGCTGTGCTTAGGACATTTGGTTTGACCTCGAGTTTGAATTCTGGTGGGACAAGTTCCAGTTTGGGTTCTGATGACAGTTCATTAGTGAGAAAAATAGGGGAATCCAGACCGCGAGCAGCAGTGGGGGTGGGTCCTAGTAGCCAAATTAGTAGTGCCGGCATAGAACAAGGAATACTAGTCTTGCTAACCTTGATGATTGACCTTGTGTTGGTGTCCACAGTGGCCACACCCAATACCTCAGGAGATTCTTGTGCACCGACTGCATGTGTCAGTCTCGGAGCCGCTTGCTCAAACTCAGCGACCAATGCAGCCATACCAACAGCAGAGTTTGATATCATTCCAATTGAGTGCTTTGGTAAATTATGCCACATGCCATCAAGATCATCAAACCAAGGGAATTTTGCTCGGATATCCTCTAATACCAATCAAAGACCAGCATGGCATCAGTGATAGATGAATACATTACCTCGCAAATTGGCATGGATTTCTTCACACTCCTCTTCAGACTTCACACCCTGACCAGTTTCACTGAGGAGTTTGATATATTTCTTGTACTGACTTTCCAGCCTACCCAGTGGATCATCAGCATATCAGCAGCATGCCAATTGACCATCACTCACCAACTTATTCTACCCTGTATAGCTGTAGTGTATTGGTTCAGAGCTGCAACATAGAATTCACGCTCTGCCTCTTCCTCGTGGTCCCAGATTGTCAGGGCACACCCGCCTGACCCGGCCCCACCCGGCCCACTTCACCCGGTACCCCGCCACCCAGTCTTCCCCTACCTCCTTCCCCCTTCCTCTTTCTTTCTTCCTCCATTCCACTCTCTCTTTACTTATCTCACCTTCTTTTCTCTTTATTCTACACGGACGACCTTTCCTTGTATCAATGTACCATTGACCCACCTGCAGCGCGCTCACAACATGACCAGCCCGGGCGCCTCGGGCGACCCCCACCATGTCCAGCTTGCGCGTTCACAGCGGACGCCCTCAGGATCCCCCACGGGGACACCCGGGTGACTATGGCTGTATGCGAGGATGATGTGGCACCCGTCATGTGACCTAAGCCGCATGTATATAAACATACCTGAAGTGGGAACCGAAGAAGTAGCCTTCTTCTCACCCTTTTCCACTTCAGGTAAGTAACATAGTATTCCCTTCTAATAATAATAACACCCTTTTCCACTTCAGTCTAAGTGGCCAGGGACTGCCTCCTGAGCCGGGCCCGCCAGTACGCACGCCCACTCCACACCCCGCGAGGCTTCTAGTGTCGGGCGTCTCACCCGGGCCTCCTCTACCCCGGATGCGTCCCTGACACAGATGTCCTTTGCAATAGCTGCCCAATAGTCTTTCTTCTTCTCACCATTAGAAATCTGGGGTAGAATAAGATGTTTGGAAGGTATGAGCAAGCAGAGTCACCTTCAGTCGGCCCTTGGCCTTCGCAGTTTGGATAGAATCACCACTCAGTTTCAACCTCACATTTGGATTCTCAAGCAGGTATGATACGAGACAGTCAGTCCAGTGGGGGTTCTCAAGCCACTGAACGCGATGGGTTGCAGGAGGCTTAGTGGGGGGTTCAGCCTGGTTGCCAGTGTTCAGCTTTGATAAACGGCTGGAACGCTTCGAAACTGGCGCAAGTTCTGGGTCCAGAGCAGCAGGCTGCTTTGGTCCCATAGTTGGTCGGAGGAAATGAGTGTGGAGTGCCGTAGTAACGAGTGTGGCAGGTGGGGATGTTGTGCAGTGTGATTCTGGTGGCAGGAACTGTACAGTTACATCAGAAACAAACAGATGAATACAGGACGGGATTAAGACTCTTTAAAACCGAGTTGTGAAAACAGGCAGTTGTGGTTTTCACAGTCTTGCGGCCTCGGAGCCGCAACTCAAAAACACCCTCTTGTGGCACACTTTTCAAAACACACCCGACTTTTGAGCCACTTGTGAGTTCGAGTTTTGGCATAGTTTTGGCAGAGTTTTCCAGCTGTGAACGTCCCTATTGTGTTGGAGCCAGAGGTAGGGTGGGCTCTCAATGTCAGAGACCAGGTTTGAGACAAAGGGAAGTCTCCGTGGCAGAGGGCTTCGGCCTCAGCGACTTATGCCAAGAGCGCTGTGCCTAGTAACATGTCCATGCCCTAACTTACTAACTGGCAACCAGAACCGAAAGGGGGTAACTCTAGTCGATTTTATTACTGAAGTGTAACCTATGTACAAGTTGGATATATATATGGTTACAGCGAAGACGGGTCCACAAATGGTGGAGCCAAACGGAGCGGAGCTAACGGGGTTAAACATTAGCTGACTGAATATTACCGACGAGTCGGGTTGTGGGGTTAACGGAAAGGCAGGCGATAACCCAGAAACGGAAAGGAGGGGTAGGCCCAAAGGTGGGCTCTGCAGGGCAGGTGAGTGTATTGCCCAGCGGAGGTGGGAGTGTGCTAGCGGACGTCGGAGCTGTCCGGAACTCTTTGGGGCTCCGTACTTAGGGAGGCGTAATTGAAAGGAGGGGGTGGTGACCATCGAGGGGTACCAAGGGGATTGCGGAATACAGGAGCTCCAAGGTTAGTGAAGAAGGAGTGGAGGTAGACCAGAGGGATCGGAGGTACCGGAAGTCGTTGGCCGGGGATGGATATGACAAATACCACATAAGTCTTATTTAATCTCATACCTCCATCTAATCAGGGCTAACAAATGCTGGTAGTGGGCAACGGCCACAAAGGGCCCATGTGAAATTAGCCACATGTGCACGACACGTGACCTGCATTCTCGTACATACAAAGGGAAAGCATGAAAGTTACTAGTACAATGAAGAAAAAGAGTAACAGACGATGTAAAAAAGTTCGAAAAGAAGAGATGGCAAAGGAGGAGTATCAGAGAGGAGGGAGACAAGAAAAAAAGCTAGGAGCTGGAGCAGATGGGAATGTAGTTGAGAATCGCAGTATTGGCAGCAGCAAATTGGGAATAGAGTAATATGCAGGTGGCAGCAGCGGCAGCGGGTCAAAAGCATGAGCCCGGAAAAGCAAGCAGCAAATTGGATCTCACTCACCAGGGGAGCACGAGATACCAGGCAATAGGGAGAGGGGAAAGGGGAGCCGTCAGGGCCCCTTTATAGGCATGACTTAGGTAGTATGAAACCTCTCCTCAACAGTGAAAGTTCAGTATGTACCTCCACTGAATGGTCCACTTCGTGCATCTGTGCCGAAAACATTCAGCATACGACTGAGGGTTCAGGCTAAGTTGCATGATAAATCACGAGAAAACCGCGATCGGTGAGGGAAGGCATGTGAATGCAAAAGCAGTCGCGACTGGGTGCAGCCGGGCAGACTGCTAACCTGTGATTATGCCACCATCAAGAGACACAGCCACAGCCACACACAATGTCATGTACAGTTCCTCACACTAGCTCAGTGCCACCTGACAGCAAAGAGTCATTCCAGGGTAAAAATGAACAAGCTTTGGGAAAGGTATGCAACTGATATGCGCTTTCAGGTTGGGTATGGTGGAAGGTTGCCAGTGAGGGCAGTGAAAAGGAAAGCGAGTATTTCCATGGTGATTTGTGCGTCCACTCTCCCTGGTATACTGGAGGTTGTAGTTGAGCATTCCTTAGTGTCTACTGGATGGACAACTCCAAGTTAGGTGAGGACCTGGACTTTGCCAACACCCTGGTGCAGAAAGCGGGGAAGGGAAAAATAACCCATATTGGGCCCAAACTACCACCTGTAAGTAATTAGAGTTAATCCTGCAGTGCTCAGAGTTGACATTGTGTCTCGTCCAGTTCAATGAGGAGGTAAGAACTATGACATGTCTCATTGGTTCTCACCTGCTCATGCTATCAACAGAAAGTGACCCTGGAGGTCTACTGGGATGCTACTATCCCAGCCATTGCTAATGGGATTTCGGAGGAACTCCACCAACACCTCCTGTAAGTCTCAAGCACATTGCTGAGGTCTAGCGTCTGCAGTGCTGGCCCTTTTATTAAAATTTCCCTTCTTCCTTGCAGTTCATCTTTGAAAGTCTACCCTCACGAGCTGATCCGGCTCAAAGGGATCACTGTTGTTAGGCCTTCTGTGGACATAAAGCATATGTTCTTGTTTTCTGCATCGCATAGGATGAAGCCCTTAAATAGATTCATGTCCTGTGATAAATTCTGTTTTTGACGAAGCTGCCTTCTCTGCAGCTGCAGCCGGGGATGTTGTTCCCGATTTTTATGAGGGTTGGTTTTGCCTGTAAGTAACCCCAAGCCTACTGGAGTAATGAAGGGATTTTATGTGATTTTCATAGCCGTTTCTTCCAAGAAGGGCTCGATGGGTTCTATGTAAGCGTGCATCCATGTTATCCCAACATCTTACCAATCTATCACTTAGTCCCTTCAGAACCTGTGTGAAATTTTCCCACCATGTAGCAAACCCTGGGATGCTAACTCCCAGCCTCTCAAATTTTGCTGCAAAGAGGTTATTCCACACTGGTTTACATTGATGGGTAGCGATCATTGCCAGCTACCCTCCCAATCGTACACCCTCACTGATGTCCTTCAGTCCATCCTGCGTGAGGGATGTGCTGAAGCCTACAAGGACCTGGATTTTGGGGAGCATCCCAACATTCACCAGATCGCAAGGGTTGCTTGCAGCGACCTCAAACTCTTTGGTGCACCCAATGGACAGGATTGGGACTTGAAAAAAGAGTTGCAAGTGTTCCACCTGAAGAAAAGGTGTATTTTGTTGGCAGTGGATGAATTGGAGAAGCTGGCGAATCTGGGGGAAAATTTGGAGAATGCAGCAAGTGCCTTTCTAGGAGGGACTTATGATGCATTCGTTCAACCGTTGGAACCTGGGGAATCTGGGGTCTACATCAAACACCAGTGTCCTTCACCTGGTTGTGGCAGGCTATTTTGATGGGTGTGTGTGTAATTCATATTCCTTTTCCATTCTTGCTAAAAAAAACCTATTTATTGTTGGACCCTTATATTATACGTTGGCTTCTGAAGCCCACTTGCTCAAACTCACCTCCCAATTTCCATACTTTTCACCTCCCCTCCAGCCATTAATTCCCGCTCTCCATAGCAGGTCCTACGTTTTTTTCTCCCCCTCTCACCATTTCACTGCTTATCATGTTCCACATGCAGCGCTTCCACTCATCTTATTCCTTTATTAGTTTTGTCTCATCATATTATTAGTCTGGCTACTTATACTGCTGTTGTCATATCCCGGAATCCCGACCCTGCGCACTCCCACCACATCACACCTTCCTAACAACTTCACCATCCCCTACACCATGCCTCCCCACTCTCCAAGTCACCTTCCCTCCTGACTGTCTCAGCTCCGGTCTGGTTGTGGCACACCGAACCTTGGCTACTCCCATCCCGGAACCCCGGTCCCGAGTCGGGACATTCGGAGACCCCAGATTTGCTCCAATATCCTGACGGACCTCCGACATCCCGTGACATGCCCTTAAACCATTCCTCCACCCACTTCATTTATTGGAGTCACCCAACATCCTTCGGATACGCAACTCCGCTTTCGGAGCTACCCGCATCCTTTGGTGATCTCCCTCACGTTACCACTTATTAGTCATCTTCCATTCTTAGCACGACTACCTTCTTACTACCATTCAGTCGGCTAACCCCCCCTTACCCATTTGTCCTCCCCATTCATTTTCCAGCCTTCAACTCCGCCCTCCTTGGCCCGACACCTCGGTTCCCCGTTTTCGATATCATCCGGAACCTTTCGGTACCTCTCGGTATCATTCGGTACCTTTCGGTGTTTTCCCCATTTTGTCATTTCGGGCTTTGACTAAAAGTCCTCCCCATCCTCCTTTATAAATATACGTAGGTTAGAACCTGTAGTTCCTTAGTTCTAATCTCGACTAAAATGCCACCCAAAGTCCCTCTGAGTGATTCCTGTCCCTGTTCTACAAGACACCTCAGACATAAGAAATACAAGGACTAACTGAGACGTAACGGAGGCACAGCGCTCCCTCCGAGTCGCTGAGGCCGCGTCCTTCTTAGAGCCTCTTGTACCATCCAGCAGAACTGGGCTCCCTGAGAAGCTTCGGTCACTACCAGAGCCCTCGGACCCTCCTCTAGTTGAGCCCCGCCTGCATTCGGACTCACACATTTACCCCCTCTCCCATAACCAACGGGTTTTTAACAGGTGGCAACTTGAGGACATAGTTTGACATCTCTGGAAATGTTTCCAGAATTTCATAAGGCCCTATATACAGGGGCTTTAGTTTGCCTGCCCTCCCTTTGGGTAGGTTCAGCTTATCCATCGATAAGGATGCAAGCTTGCCTTTTCTCAAAGGCAGGTCTGGGCATCTGTTCTTATTCACCTGGATTGTTTGTTTACTCTTGGGTAGTCCAAGGGTGGTGCTGTTAGGCACATCTTTGGCATGTGGCCATAGATTAATTCGACCAGGGCAAATCCTGTCAATGTGTTTGAGCTCGCATTGATCGCGAATTCTGCCATCAACAGCTTCGCTGCCCAGTTGCGTTGATCTGGTCTGACCATCACACATAGTATCTGTACTACTTTTTGTATCATTCTTTCTGCTTGGCCATTGCTTTGCAGGTGGAATGCAGTTGTGAATTTCAACTGCACACCGAGTATTTGGTGTAGTTCGTGCCAAAATTTTGACATGAATTTCGAGTCTTGATCTGATATAATTGAGTGTGGTAGACTGTGAAGTCTTACACCTTCGTGAAGGAATACAAATGCTAGTTCTAATGCATTCATTGTTGTTTCTAGTGGACGTTGGATGTCAACCTGCAGATGATTACCCAGAGGTAATCATATCCCAAGCTTGTTGGGAATGGACCTCTGAAGTCCATGGCTATTGATGACCATGGTGTTTCTGGGGTCAGGAGTGGGTGGAGCAGTCTGGGATTTCTCCTGGTGCTTTTCTTTGTTGTTTGACAAGTTCCACAGAACCTGCAGAACTTGTGGATGTCCTTCCTCATCGACTTCCACCAGAAGTATCGACAGAGGGTTTCCACTGTGTTCTTGGATCCTAAGTGTCCAAGTGTTTCATGGATGTTTTTGAGGATTATTCCTCGAATGGACTTCCTTTTGTAGTTCCCTTTCGGGACTACTATTTGGGTTGTTCCTACTTCTCCAAGTCAGGTTATCAGTCCATCTTTTATGGAGAAGTTTTTGAAATTCCCCGGGTTCTCTAGGATTTCCTGGTGGATCTGGCTTTGCGAATATCCAGATTATATTGCCTCAATGAGGTCTTTTCCTTTGAATTGTTTTCGAAGGTTCTCTTCTGGAATTATGATTTCTTCCAGGTTTTGGGTGCTCCCCCCTAGAGCGTATTTCTCACATGTATTGCTGCAAGTCTCTTTCTCTCTGAGTTTTTACTCAGGGTACTGCTTAGCAGCAGTTCTTCATATTCCTCGATTCTGTCAAGGATAATATCTTCTGCATTTTTATCCAGATGGATATCCGCCAACACATAGTTGTCGAAATGCAGATCCTTGTCAGTTGACGAGTCATAGTACCGTGAAAGTGCATCTGCCACTTTGTTCTTATGGCCTTCCACGTATTTTATTTCGCAATTAAAGCTTGCAAAGAAGGCTTGCCATCTCAGGTGTCTACCTGAGTTGTGGTTTTTTTCTTTGAAATATTCCAAAGCTTTGTGGTCTGTGATTACTGTGAATTCATGGCCTCCCAGTGCCTCGAGCTCGTAGGTGAATGTCAGGGCACACCCGCCTGACCCTGCGCCGCACCCCGCGCCGTACTGCCCCACTCCGCTCTCCCCACTATCACCCCCTGCCCCTCCTTCCTCACTTTCCCCTTTTCTCTCTATTTCTATTCTACGGTTGATTTCCCTTTTCTCCATGTACCACTATGTACCTAACCCTGCTCCCCTGATCGCTGCACGCACCACGCACACTCCTGCCTGCTGAGCGGCCACCTCCGGGATCTCCCGCGGAGACACCCGGGGAGGTGCGGCTGTGTGCGGAGATGACGTGGCTTCTCCCACATGACCCTAACCGCATGTATATAATAGCACCTGGGGTGGGAACAGAAGAAGCAGCCTTCTTCTCAATTTCCCACTTCAGGTAAGTACCATAGCTTTTCCCTTTTAATGATAACTCAATTTCCCACTTCAGCCTAAGTGGTCGGGGACGCTCACCCCACGATGGGACTGCCGCTACGCATGGCCAACACCTGTCCCATCGAGTGCCTCAAGCTGGGACCTCGCCGCATTCGGAGCTGTCCCTGACAGTGAAGTACCTACATTGTGTGTTGGTGAACTTTTTGGACATGAATGTGGCTGGGTGGCAAGTCTGCCACTTTTCACCTTGTCCAATTAGTGTGCCCATGCATGCTGGGCATGCATCTGTTATGACCCAGATGTGGAATTTGCTCCTCTCTTCTTCTGAGAGACTTTCTGGTGGATTCCCCTGGACGGGCTTCAGGATCAGAGCCCTGCATGCAAGACGTTTGATCTCGTCAAAACATTTCTGGTGGAGTATGTCCACTTGAATGTCTGCTTGTTTGAGCAGATTGTTTGCAGTGGCCCTGTGTAGCCACTGACGTTCAGCATGAATATCAATAGGTATTCTACCATTCCCAGGAATCTTAGGACTCCTGTGTGGTCTACTGGCTCTCGCCAGTTGCGGATTTTTTCCATTTTATCTGCTTGAGTGTGGATGCCTTGTTTGTCCACGCAGCTTCCTAGAACATCTAGGATCAGAGCAAATGGCTGGAACTTTTTCTGGCTTATGTAGAACTTTGCCCCCTTGAGGCAAGTGAACAACCACAATAATGCTTTATTGTGGTTCTCCACCGAGCTTGTGCTGGTGAATATATCGTCAAACCAGACGTGTAGGTGTCTGCCTACTTCTCCTTGCAGTTCCCAGGTCAATGCATGCTGGAAAGTACAGGGAGTGTTGCAGTCTCCTTGCTGCATCGTGTTTGAGTTGTACATCCCATGGGGCATAGAGAATGTCATCCTATGGATGTCGTCTGAATCCATGTGTATTTGTTCATATGCATCCAACATATCGATCTTAGATTGGTATGTTGCTCTGGCGACTGATTCTTGGATCAGTCACATGTCTGGCATTGGTGTGACATTGAGGATTGTGTTTGAGTTATGATTCCTCATGTCTATCACCATGCGCAAAGATCCATCTGCTTTGCGGATACACAGTCACAGGCATATCGTTTGCTGTTTGTGGGATACCACCATCCTGCTTTTACATAGCGATCTATTTTGGTTGCTAGTGCTTCCTGCAGTGCTGCAGGACATCTTGGGGTGTTTTCCCAAAATTTCTTGTTCGGATCCTTTAACGGGATTCAATGGTTCACCTCCCTCAAGGGAGGCATTTCTAATGGCACTGGTGCCATTACAGTTTCGAATTTCTCTCTCCACCACTCCCTGAGTATTTTGAACTCGGGGTTGTTCATGGAGAGACCTTCCAGATGTGGTATGTCTGGAAGTTCCAGTCCTTCTGGACTAGGATTGGGCCAGCCTTCAGGGTACTTTCTTTCAATTACCCTGAGGTGTGTTTTAATCCTGCCTCCCTGTCAGGGGGGCTTCTTTTTTGGTTGTTCTTGAGCTTTTGCTCGAGTTTTCCATCCATGTGATCTCGTCGCACAGTCTTCACTGACTCCAAGGGTATCTATGTTGCCCTTGTTCACTGTTCTCACTTTGTGGGACCGGAAGTCTAAACTTACCTGGTTTTCGTTTAACCAGGGGGCACCAAATATGGCATCATATCTATCGATGTTAATCACATAGAAGTAGTGTTTTTCTACATGGCCATTGATCTCAATGTCCACATTTGTTCCAAACAGGATCTGTGGTCTTGTTCCTTTTGTCCCCATTTGAAGGACGACTGGGTCCTCCAGTTGGAGGATGCGTGGATGAAGTCCAGCGATATAGCGTTGTACATGGGCACAGCCGGTACCATGCAAATGAGCCAATTATCACGATTCTACCACCCATGTCAAGTACCCCACTCCTGAAACACATCTACCACTGTCCCACATATCCCTTCCATGTTTCCCATATTTCTTTCCGATTTTTTCAAACCATTCCTGACCATGGACAACCATCAGTTTCCAAATTGGGCAACTGTCACCTGCATATTCCACCGCTTCCTCCATATCTCCATCAATTCTCCACCGATCCGGATGAATTTAATATCGTTGAAAAGCCCGGGTCAACACGAGTCGAACGATGCTACGAGCGACGGATTTGGTTCAGCGGTTGAGGCGATCGCCATGGTTCTTTATTTCCATAACAACATCAATATTTCTTTGATATTGCTGTTTTCTTAAGTGTTCCTTGTGGATCTGTTTCCGTCCTAAACCCGTCGGATCATTCGGATTTCCTCGTATTTCTTTCATATTTATAGTTACCCTCTTTCCTGTATTTACAAAACAAGGACTCCCCCAACAGAGAGAGGTGCTCCCCAACAGACATGAAGTTCTAGCAGGCGTTACCAGCGCCCTGAGCGGCGAATACGAAGCCAAAGAGGCTCAAGACATAGTGCAGGGACAGAGTTCCCATCAGTTTGATTATCAGTGAGATTTATGAGTTTATCATTTTTTATCACATCACACCCGGACCATTTCTCCTCCCCCCTCCTCATCATCCAAACCTCCCCTGAGCACTACCAACTCTGTGGCCCCCTCTCTTTCTCATTAGGGTGGTAGATCCCCTGCCCCCTTACAGCATCCATTTCGGCTCCACTGTCAAATAGCATGTAGGCTTTTATGCCTGCTATTTTTATATGAGCTGTCAGCGTTCTCTTTGTTGAGAGCAG